TTATTTATTTTAATGCACTATTTCATTAGTGTTTGTAGTCAATATCAACTGATCTGCTGACATTGTGAATATCAGTCTGTGTTTTCATATTCATGTCATAATGCTCAGCTACATGTCTTACCTCAAAAGGAGCTTCCCAGGAAAAATTGAATGACAAGATAACATCCACATCCCTCTCTGGCTCAAGTACCAAAGGAAAGGGAGAGTTGATTGAAAAGCCACCATCCACTAAATACAGGCTTTCTTCCATGGGGGTCAGCTGGTTGGGAAATGCATCCAGATGAGTGCCTGAAAGACACTCCAAGTAACACAAGTAACTATAATGATTCATTACATACCTCTTGATACAAACAACTGACAAAGCTTACACTGGGGCTATAAAAAGAAAAAAAAGACATCCCAAAATGCACATTCACCCGAGACTGACCTGTAAACTCTGATGAGGAGCTTGCCTTTTATGACAGAGCACACATAGTGGATCAGTTTTTTTGCTACAGTGTAAAAAGTGGTAAATTCCCTGACTTCAGTGGAACAAAGTCAAGCTCACTTATGTTCTGTAACAACTGCTGCAAAATATGAACACACTGTTTTATATCCCAGATATATACAGACTCATTTACCTCTCCAAGCCACAAATTTCTTTATGTTAACATAATCTTTATGAAGATACAATCCCTGCATGAAGTTGAAGGTTTCTCCACATGTGAGCCGGGACTTGAAGAAATCCTGAAAAATTTGTAACAAGGGGCCCCCAGGTATAACCAAGCGAGTCTTCAGTCGTGTTGGATCTTGGAAGTGGAATCTTCGGCAGTCATCTGCAGAAGCCACAGAAGGATACAGAATAATAAAAATGCTTGTCCAGTTCCAACATTTCAATCAGACACTTCTATAATATTTAACCAGTTGTCCAAAGGCTAAACTTATCCTCTAATAAAACAAGTATTGTAATGAAATTTAAGTGAGATGCATATTCTATAGTTGGATAATTTACCTGCTCTGTTTAGAGGGAATAGCATTATTCATAAGTCATTGTCCATGCTAATTTCAAACCCACACAGAGAAACCCTTACCAAATGACAACCACTTCTGTCTCAGAAGACAACGTCATCCACAGACAGTAGCATTCATAGTTACTATAACAACTATAAAAAACTGGGGGGAAAACTAAAGTTGCAAAAGCAGAGAAGAAAAAAATTTATCTCCCTCCACTACTTACTATAAGGCTATAACCATACACCTGAGCAACTGTCAGCTTTTAATACACTTCCTCTTCACTGCTAGGGAGGCATTGTTCAAACAGAGAACAGTGCATAAACATGCAACCAGCTTATCCAAGATGACAAAAATGTGGCTAAGGGGGAAACTGAAAAAATTTATTTTCCTCTCCTGCTTAGCAGTCCAGCTTCTTCTTCTTCTCACGATTAAGACCCCTGCACTGCAATAGGTGTTTAAGACATTAATTACTCACTTCACTTTACGTGCGATGGAAGGGAATAATATAGAGTACAAGAGAAAACTGTCCAAACCCACCCTTTATGCTCATCTTCAAAACAACACACAGCACGTTTGAGTCATATTATTTGTACAATCATTCCAAAAGCAGAAATCTTTTGGAAAAATCCTACTATTTTAATGTATGTTCTTACCTACAACTTTGATAACATCTTTGAATGAATCCAGAAAGCCCAGTCCTATACCAACCACCTTCAGGCAGATATCATCCAAGCTTGCAGCAAAGGCACTGCCCCACATTCCTGCAGGAAAAATGTAGAAGAATTTAATACTCAAAAGGCTTTTCACACTTTAACCAAAAGGCCTACAATTCAGCTGCCATTTGTCATGGTTTAGGGCTGTCACTTGACCCCTACTATTCTAACAGGTGACATTTGAGTTTTAACCTCTGAGTTAACTGTGTGATGAATTCTGCTGTAATAATGTAATGCAGAAGTTTCTCCAAGAGAAAAGCTCTTTTATCAGCAAGGGCAAGATGGCAAGAGAATGGGAAGAACTAAAGCAGAAACAGGCAGCTAATAACAGAATCTTCTTGCAGACTCAGGGCATCAGACTCTAATACTATGAACCTACACCTAAACCTTTGGAAAAAAGATTTGACCTTTTTCCCCTTCTTCAAACTCTTCAGGAAGGGACAGAAAGGTAAGGGTTTAAGCTGATGAGTCTCAGAAGTAGCATAACTCCCTTCCATTTTCCCATTTTATTCATTACTGTGAGAACATACCTTGTAGAAAACAAATCCTCGGCTCTGGACGTTTCTGGACAAGCCGACCCATGAAGAACTCGCTGTCGAAGTCCTCTGTTCGGACAAAAGCTCCATATTTGCGAAATCCAACTTCAAAGGGAGTGAACTCGCACCATTCTAAGAACAAGCCAAGAGGATTATTTACTCATCTCTGGGCAAATGTAGGTGAAAATACTTATTTGATTTCTGTTCACACAGCAGACAGAAGGGAGTCTCCCTCTATGTTTTCACCATCACTACGGATATCCCTGCCACCCTTCTCAGTGAGACGTTACATGATTAATAACAACTCTTGTGCAGGCTTTTATTGACTGGCCTTGGGGGGGGGGAAATCCCATCTTGCTCCATCTTGACTTTGCTACTGCAGAAACAACCTGCCTATTTTACTTCCACTTTAAACCATTCCAACTTCAGACTTCGTTGTCTGCTTAACAAAGTGTCCCCTCATGCTTGAAAGCTTTCCACAAATATTTACCAGTCATACATAATATCATACACATACACCGCTCCAGAACAAAACAAACAAAAACATCCCATACTGGTACACAGACAGATACAACCATCTGTGTTCCTGGCTCACTGTATCCTCACTTGCTGCATCTTATTTAAATTTTCAAGTGACCTGAAATAGGACTGGCCTTCATTTTTTACTGCAATTGTATAACCAGCAAGAACCCAGGTTGCTAAATACCACAATTTTGATGATGCATGCAACAAGGCTGTCAATCCATCATTTGACGTGAATCCTACACAAATTGATTATCTGAGACTATAAAAGGAAGTAGGTCACCTAAGTAGAAAGGACTTCAATTCTCCAATTCAGACACAGCCTCACATATTATGAGAATCTTTGCTCTCAGCTCCTCAAAATTTCAGGCACTTTCTAGCAAAGTATGTGGAGTGTCCAGCAGAGTTGAATCTCACTTCTCTCTTACAGCCAAGATGAAGATATTTGTGATCACGATGATAGCACTCTGCCAATCAGTAGCCTATTGCCTCTTGCACTACCAACTGCTTCTTGAGCTATGTTTCGTGTTGTCAGCTACTCACTACCCAAGGAAGTGGAAAGGCGAAAGGAATTTAGGGATTTTGGCAAACACAAATTATCTGCCCTGTTCATACCTGCAAAGTCACCGCTGCTAATATTGGGTCTCACATTGACAGCTGCATAGATAGGATAGGGGTTCTGGGCCCATTTCACTGCTGCTTGATGATCAGATAGCTTTGATGGATCTTCCTGGTCACAGGGAAAGAAGGAGAAGCATTTTACTAAAGTAAATTCTGTACCCATACTTTGATAACTTGAAGCTGCTACTTTGCATTTCTGACTAACAATACTACTAATTTCAAGTCCCTTTCCCTCCCTCCAATGCATATGGTTAGATTGAATATTTCTGCAGTGGCATACTTAGAATGTTGGGGGTTATTAATAAACTAGTTACATCTCTCTGTTTTCCGATTTCAAATAGCATAGCAAATACTGCACAGTAGCACCATTTTGCAAAATCAACATCCTTATCTCAGGCCTAGCCTGCCCAACACAAAAGCTATTCATTTAACAACATTCATCCCAAATAAACACTACATTTTCCTATAGCACCGATCTATGACTTCGAAATTCTTTACTGAAGAAGGGTGTTGGGAAATATGGGGCAGAGAGATCAAAACTCCCTATGTTTATTCCATACCATCATCTATTCCAGAACAGCTCACAAACGTAGGGAGTAATCAGTTTCTTGACACACAACACATGGGAGGGCACAGCTCCCATCCTGGAAGACACACAGCAGTTCACATCCATGTACTAACTCCTTTACCTTCTGTTGTAGGAAATATTCCACAATAAGGCCCCACAAATCTGTAAAGGAAACCTTCCGTCCACTCATCTCCATTGCTTGCAGCTCCTGGAAGTAGTATTTCAGTCGTTCTGGGGAAAATGCCCCTGCTTTGCTGCTGGACACAGTATCCTGAGCATTTTCAATTGCATCTTGAAGATCTTTCTGTGACCAGTCAGGGTCTTGATACAATGTCGATAAGCACCTGAAAATGTTTATATTAAGGTCATCAGTAATAATGACTCCCATGTAAACAATAATTTTAGCTAGTTATAATTAATGCTGCAGCACTGAACTAAAAGCTTGAGAAGCCTAGCTAAAAGACAAAACATCGTGAAGAGAGACTAATAACGATGGATCTCTGAACTCTAAAACATGCTGAAAACCCTGACACCTACAGGACAACTTCATCCTGATGGCTAACCTACCCTTCAAGGATGTTCACACATCTCTCAACACTCAACCCGCTCATAAATACGAGTTAAGTACAGGCCGAGAGACTGGCTGATAGCAAGGGTGCTACTGCATACAGCTACAGAGGCCATCGCCTTCATCAGAACACAGGGCTGATTAAACGAGAAACTAGTCTGGAATATTGGCTATCCACATGGACAGATGCCTACATTTGTTCGAAAGCCTGTCTCCCAGTCAACAGGAGCAGGCTAGATCATAAGGTTAGTGGAAGAATGAGGTACATGGGACTTAATTTAACACACAAAGCTCTGGCAGGAAGGATTATACTGTTAGCTTGCACAAGTCCTCAGTGAAATCATTTCACAAGAATAATGTGTAGGCATGAGGGATGATTTCACCACAAGCTCCAAGAACTGAGCTACAGAAACATTCTAGCCATGTCTAGCATTTCAGCCCATTGCTCCAGCCCACCAAAGGGCAAACCGGTGCCACTCCTATTCAGTTGCATACTCCATTTTGGAATGTGGTGACATAATGGTCTGCGTGGACAAGTTTCCAGTGACTTGCACCACCTCAGTTATCTTCTTGGCAAAAGCAAGGAAATTGTGAAAGTTTTTGAAGTCATGGCTCTGAGGGAACACACAGCAGTTTTATTCATGTCATATATTATAATATTCAACTGCCAGGCTTGCAAAAGCAGCAAATTCATAAATTTAGCCAGTAGCTGTATGGGTTATAAGTGATAACGAATCTCTTAGACTCCTTAGGATCCCCATCAGAACTCACAGGTAAGAACTGATAAATATCACACTTTGTTGCCTGCCTACAGATGGCACAAATGCAATTTTGGTCTTATTTTGCATCAACACTATCATATTCACCTAAAAATTTATGGAAACAACCCTGCATATAACTTACCAAGTTGAGCCAGAAATCCCACACAGATATATTGCAGCATCCAAAAGGCCCAGCTGCTGCAGCCCTGCAAGACTTCCATAGAACGATGTCAGTGCTCTCATCCCACCTCCAGACCCCAGTACCGCTACAACTGGAACCTGCAGACAGCAAACTCAAGAGTCACAATCACAGACTTATGTATCGTCAATAAATTACAGAACTAATCCCATTTAAGTATCATTCTTATTTTTAGAAGAATCTCTATTTCTATTTAAATTTCAAGTAATTTTGGGTTTTATTTCAACCAAAAAGATTTTCTCCACTTTGTAATCAAAATATATCGTATATATAAGACACAGCAGTGTCATCTTAGGGACAGTCAATTACGGAAATTGTTATGCATATAATCACACAATTAATTGCATGCCACACAATATACACATAAGAAAAAAAAAGGCAATCGTTCTTATAACAGTACCCAAAGATCCCAGAGCAAGGGATATCAGGCTACCTAGATATAACAGTGTCCTCAAATCAGCAACTACAGGAAGTACACAAAAAATTGAAATTTCAGAACCTGTGTTCCAAAACACACACATCCCTCTAAATTTTAGAAATAACATTTGAGACTTCAGAACTGAAATGTCATAGGGATCTCTCTCATGCCATGGTGAATGTGAACCATGTTTTGTGTTGGTTACAGGCAAAGAATCCTACAACATCTAATTATCAGTCAAGAACAAAGGATTTCACGTATCTCACTACAGCACTGTGCTAAATACCTCATCTTTTGGAGGGGATTCTTTTAATTGAAGAGTTTTCCTCAGTGCCTCAGCAACTATTTTCTTCCTTTTGTCCAAAAATTCTCTCTCCTCTTTACAGAGGTCAAAACCCAGACGTAAATCAAGATCCCAAGTGCTGAAATAGAAATTAAGACAAAAAAGCACCGAAACAGAATTGTATTTACCAGGGAAAAGCAATTTCTGTCAACACACAAAATATCTGGTGTATAGACATACACTAAAACTTCATTTAAAAGTTTGATCCAGTGATTCAGATAAGCACCTCAATTGTAACAACAGCTTTTGGAATTAAAAATTAAACTCTTCCCTATTGTATTTCTCTCTTAATGTCTAAATACAAAGCAATGTCAAACAGTATTCAGATGAAGCTTCAGAAATCTCACAAAGGAAGAAAAAAATTCATGGTAGGTGAAGAGCATTGTACAAGAAGCAACTGAGATCACTGTATTGACATGGATGGGGAAATGAGGGGAAGAACAATTTTAAAACATCAGTTTCTGAACCTTAGAGGCAGAAGGGGACAACTAAATACCAATGAACCTGCTATGAGTTTGTAAAAAGGGGGCAGGATCTTTAGTTAATGACAATGTACCAAATGACCCCATGAATTTACTAGCCAACTCCTTGGTTTTTGTGTTATTCTTTCCTTGACACTCCTTTCTTGCACCCTTCCTCTATTTTATAGTTCAAGTTCTCCACGTACTGAGGTGTCCTTTCCTATTCGCCAGAACAGCACTGCACACATTCTGGGAACCATCTGTACCTAACAACGATACTTAATATGTACGTGATCAGTTTGTTTATTTATTGAAGTATTAGGAACATCAAATTTGTTCAGGTTTCAACAGGACTGACACCAATCCAACAGATAACACGTGCAAAGTGAAGAGTCACAGCCTTCAGAAGAAAAAAGGTATTTTTCTTTAATCTACCTCAAGAGATCAGAGAAGACAACCGACCTTCACAGAACAATACGCAGAGTCACTCAGCTCCTTCACTACAAGAATAAAGGCCTTTCCTGATTTGTAGAGGTTTTTAAAGTTCCCACTCACCTCTCTTCAGTTTTCAAACTCATATCCAAACTCCGTCCCTGTGAAAATAAAGAACACCTCTTGCAATTGAGAGTAACTACATAGGTGGAACTACTAGCTAGAGGTTATAACATCAACAGGGTTGCTAGGTAGTAACCAGGATAGTGCACACCCACCCAAAACTACATCTCTGGAACACATTTCCCTTGCACCTATTTCAGACATTTTCAATAATCTGCACAGAAAGTCAAAATATGTAATTGGAGAGCAGGGTAAAAATAATTATTTCTTCTGAAAGCTTCTTGCTTTTCTCCTCCTACAATATATTTTTTTTTTTTACACCCTAACATACTTACTGCTTTCGAAAGAGATAAACTTTATACCTATTTTGCAAGACCTAACCATGAAAACATTTTTAGAAGAACTGCACTGAGTAATCTCAGTATTTCATTCTGGACATCCAAGAAAACAGCACTCCTAAGAATCATGTGCAACTTCAATTTCCAAATAGCTATAGGCAATGGTTGAAAATAGTTATCCCAAGCACAATAAAACAAGCGCAAAATGTTGACATTACCTCTCCCAGAGAAACAATTCTATCAACTTTTTGTCCAATAGGAAGGGAATTAACTGGTACAGTCCCCAATCCCAGAACTGTAGTATGCTTTTCAATATCAGGATTCACACCATCCTAATAAAAAACAATGTTATTTTAGCTTGTGTGAAAAAAGTTAGAGGTATGACAGTCATACTTCTCAAAAGAGCAAAAACAGTCTTTAAAATAATTACAACTAAATCTTTCCCAGAAGCTTTAGGCTTTTCAAGATTGTCCTGCCTGCTGCTTGAGATCTTTGCTAGTATTATTTCTGTCAGTTTTGTGCACTTTTTTTTGTTTGTTCTTGGTTGTTAATTTTTTTTTTTTAATATAGCATTCTGCCACATGCAAGAAATCTTCCCAATCCTTACCCAATGTCAAAGATCCAATGGAAAGTCTGACATTCTAATTCTGTTTTTGAAATAAAACTAGTATTGACTAAAAAGCAGTGACAGAGAAAAACCTTATCCCGCTGCCCACACATTCCTAATACACAACCAGAAAAATCATACATCCATTCAAGACAGGCTTCTAGCCTAGAAAATTTTGATCTGAGCAGCTGTAAGATTACAGAGTTAAGGTCAATCAAAAAGGTGTATCTGGAAGTGATAAATAACCTTCATAACAGATGGTCCCTAGCACCACATAGAGTACCCCACAAGAAACTTGCTTCCAATGCAAGCTTTTGACATCCACGTGTACCTGATAAATACACTCAGAAGTGATGTTCCTAAACATCTGAAGTCACCAGCCTTCTTATGATCAAATAAAGATCATCCAATTTATGTCTGAGGACATTTTCATGGACCAAAGGCACTGGTTTCAGAGTGAATTTATTAAAAAGTGGGATGTAGTCTTTGTAGTCATCAGTGTGGATGCTTACCTGCAGGACAGATAAGGTTTGCTCTAGCTCCACTTGCAGTTCTGGACACATTTCTTTATCCACGTGAAAGATGAATGGGGTTCCATAATCCTCATCATCATCTGGTCTCCAAGGAATACACAACTGCTTCTGATACGCCCCTGGAACAGACAGCTTGACCTCACAGCTCCCTGTAAATTAGAACAAGAAGTTTAGATCACAGCAACCATTTAAGTAAACGCTGAAAATCAAGCACTCCTTAAGTGTGGCTGAGACTATAAAAAAACCCAACTAAACTCTTGTCTGGTACCCAGTGGAAGCAGTCCAATACTATTTAGTATTAAAAGTAAAAGCAAAATCTACTTAAAAAGTCAATTTTGTAGTCAGAAAATAAAAATGCACTGTATATACAGAGAATCAAGTCTCCCCTGTCTCAAGGAATAAACACGCTGAAAAGTAAACCTGACAAACTTTGCAGGCAGCCCTACCTTGCTGATTCCCGTTTGTTTTTTCCTCTTTGTTGACAGTGCCTTGCAGAGACAAGCAAGGATGAACCTATGAAAAGAAGAAACCAAGTCTGGTTATAAGATTTTAGTTCACCTCTTTACGGAAGTTTTATTTGGCCACTATAGTTGGTTTACATTTACAGCTGCAAGGTGCAAAAACCACATTAAGGATTACTTTGATCTTTCAAATAAAGAGCAAGTTATGTTACAGCAGGATGGGATGTTTTGCTCGTTTCAAGATCAAAACCACCCTTCCTATTCTAGTTACCTCTTTTTATTGCCCCAAGACAATAAACAAATCCCTCAAGATGCAGCCTCCCACTCTCAGACTCAAGAGTTATCACCTGCTTACTAATGGCACAGATAAAAGCTTAGAAATAACAGGTGTTAAGATAAGAAGGGGAATATACCTGGCCAGCATCTAGGCTAGAAAAAGCAGTACAATCAGCAAGACTCACTAGCCCCCTACAGACGTTTTTTATTTATAACTTTTAAAACAGCCCCACTGGGCGGGGGGGAATAAAAAACTCTTTCTGTGAGTATCAAGTTACAAAAATTGAGGAAGCTTTTTAAACCAGCAAATTAAAAAGAGAGAAGTATATGCTGGAGAGAAGCTATGTGGATGCAGGAGTTGAATTCTCCATAATTCTTGTCCTTGCAATATTAAAAATCACCTGTGCTGGGTTCAGCCAG